AAAGCTGTACTTAATGGCAAAGCCAAGCACTGGTGGATGTTGTGTCAACATTTGTCAGGATGGGCCTTTTGCAAGGTGTGTTAGTTTTGGTTGTGATTGTGGCGTTTGACCAGAAGAATGCATGGGGAAGTTTGATCGGTGAGGACTCTGCCTCTAGGGTGCTCCTCTTTGAATATGAACTACAGGACTGCAATAGTGTGCTGATGGTAAGAACTGTCAAATCTTACTGATTATTTGTACACCAAAAAATAAAGGTTCTTTGTGTCAATTGTTACCGTTTAACATTCACAGGACCTTTCTATTTCTTTATAGTTTAAGAACTGCTCACTGAAAGCTGCTTTGGGGAACCAAAATTAGTTCTATGGCATTGCTGTTAAGACACCCTTTTAAGAGTGTAGTTGAGGAGAACCCTCTTGGTAACAACTTCAATCTCTTACAGATGACTGAGGATGAGCTTGTCTACACATTTGCTCTTACCTACACTCCTGAGGTGTTCGCTGGAACTCCGATTACCCGTACCAATGGGGCTGTTGTTGGTGTTCAATGCCACTATCAAAGGTAAGTGACCGGATATAACTGTCAGCACTGTTTATTGTTGTTGTGGTGTTGCAACTGGAACGGTTTATTTGGTACTTCCTTGAACTGCAGGGTCTACAATGTGAGCAGTAGTGCTTTGAGGCCAACTTGGGTCCCTTATGCCTCAACGGCGGTTGGCGAGGAAGTCTTGCTGTTCTCCCTGAAGCTCATGATGGGTTTGTGCAGTTTCTTTAGGTCTTAAGCCTTGTTAATGAGACTGTGCCTAAGCCGTTCTTTCCTCTTGCAGATGACTGGTCCTATCAGAGGCCTTCAAACTTGTACTTCCTGGGTGATGTTATTAATATTGAGGCATCTGTGAAGGTGTACAACCACGTCCCACTGCGTGTGTTTGTGGACAGCTGTGTGGCCACCCAAGTACCTGATGTGAATGCTCTTCTGAGATATTCCTTCATTGAGAACCATGGGTAAAGTCACTTTATTCTATAGTTGTTTGTTCTGTGACCACTTGGTCTATGAGAATTAGGGTGAGTCAACCATCGAGTGACTAGAGGGGTGTTTTTATTAAGTTCCTCTTGGTAAGTGCTTTTTCTCATCACAGAGTTCGTA